TTTGTTCACCTCATATGCCATCCTTGTAACGGAAGGGTGCCGCCCGGCCACCACGTGGTTGCCGTACTAGGCTTAGGAAGTCCGTCGAAAAAATTCCAAGTCCAGAAATCTGTGATTTCTTTTCAAAAATCAATATCTTCGTAATTAAAGCACTTAGGATTACCGGGTTTTCGGCAAATTGGTAAGTTCTTCATATACTATTATATTATATTTTCAATATGGATATAACTGCATTATCTTCGATATTAGTATTTTAAGACTAACCTTTTCTGGAACCTAGCTAAAATCTGAACCCAAATAAACTTAATTTTCTGATTGCTGTCTAAAACTTTATAAAATATGCTAGTAACCCCAAAGGGTCTGTTCATTGGGCTCGGAATACTAATTTAAACATGATACTTGATTTTGTCGAAACGTTGTGAATTTCGACACAACTCCTTCACGTCGTCGAGTGCAACCTTGGGGATAAGTTTTTCCCTGAGTACAATCTAGTTACCGCCGCATGATCAGAGTACACTGTTATTGGCGCCTTTCCAAAATAGACTCGGAACTTTTGCACTGCTAACAGAACTGCAAGTGCCTCTCTTTCGGTCGCGGAATAGATTCTTTGGGTTTTATTTAAAGTTCGGCTAAAAAATGCCACGGGCTGCTGATTTTGCGAAAGTACCGCTCCTACCGCATAATCCGAAGCATCCGCTGAAATTTCTAAATTCTCATCCTTTTCAGGAAATTTCAAACACAGGGGCTTGCGTTAATGCTTGCTTTAATTTTTCGAAACGCACTATTGGCTTCGGCCGTCCACGAGAATCTTGCCTTTTTCCTTTTTAATTTTAACAATGGTTCAGCAATAGCTGCAAAATCTTTTATAAAGGACCTATAATAGAGCAAAGTCCTAGAAAAGAAGAGAGCTTCTTTGCCGTGTTTGGAGTCGGATACTTTTGTACAGCGAATATTTTTGATTCGTCTGTCTCGATTCATTTCTGAGATATTTTGTAACCTAAATATTTAATTCAGGGGCTGCAAATTTGCACTTTTCGACATTAACTTTTACACCGGCCTCATTTAATAAAGAAAGCACCTGTCTTAAATCCTGTACATGTTGGTCGAGATTATCACTAGTAATAATGTTATCGTCTAAATAGATAAATCTGGACATTCCAAGAACAGGCCTTAACACAATGTCCATACATCGCTGAAATGTTGCCGGTGCCCCTGAAAAGCCAAACGGCATACGCAGGAATGCATAAGTGCCAGACTTGGTTATAAAAGCAGTCTTAGGCACGTCCTCAGGCCTAACCCCTATTTGAAAATAACCAGTCGTTAAGTCTAAAGTCGTCATATATTTGGTCGACGTTATGTTCCTTAGAATTTCTTCAATAATAGGTAACGGATATACCGGATATTTAGTTATGGAGTTGAAATTTACGGTAGTCAATCGCGAATCGTCACCTTTTTGGATGTGTCAATGGATAGTCATTATTTTTCTTACATAAAACCACCAGGCTAGCATAACTACTTGAGATGGGCGCTATGATCTTTTCACGTAGCATATCGCTGATGTGCCATTCTATAATTTTTTCCTTATTCTTATCATACCGGTATGCTTTGTGGCGAACTGGCATTGAATCTCCGGTGTCAATACTATGGTTAGTAACTTGAGTAAATCCTGGAATATCACTAAATAACGAAGCAAATTCACTTACCACTTGTCGAATTCTTCGTTGCTCTTCATTAGGCAGGTGGTCAAGGTTTAACATCGGCGGTTCAGCCTTTTCTTCTCGAACTGGTTTCATCGTCAGCTTAAGGGACGCTTCATTAAAATCCAGCGTTGCTTGTGCCTCTGAAAGAAAATCTATTCCTAAGATAATATGTGCTTGCAGATTCTTTACTATGAAAAACATAACCTTTACTTGTTCGTCCTTGATACGGACGTATAGCGGTAATTTACCTATGCACTTACATTTTCTCCTTGCGCAGCTAACACTGTCGTATTATCCGAATTATATATGCGATATTTACAAAAATACTTCCTAAAAAAATCTTCTGCCACACAGGAACACTGCGCGCCTGTATCCAGGAGTGCGGTGGCTGGGATATTATTCACCAACACTTCAATCTTCGGAAGAGTTAAATTTTTCACCATTACTGTATTTAACTTGAAGGAAGAGGGGTTTTCTTGGCCTTCGGATTTCCGCACCCTCCCGTCAGCAGAAATCCGTTTTAGTTTTAAATCATTTTTTCATTTCCATGCTTTCCTTCTTTTTCCACTGGCCTTGAGACTTTTTTCCTGAATTGCTATTGAACTGTCGACGTTCGCCGGTTGTTTTATGGAATGCTCGGGTTTCCTTGCCCACTGATTCGCTTTGCTTCCGTAGCCGTGTGCTTGACTTTGCTGTGGTCTTGGCGCACAAAATTGGTTTCGTTGTTGGTGATTGGGCGTCTTCTTTCAATGTCCGCCGTTCTTCTACTTTCAAACTGGATTGCTAGCTCAAATAACTTTTCCCAGTGTAGTCGGATTCCTTAATTCAATAACGTCTTGCACTTGGGGAAGTAACCTCGGCAAAATCACTTGAATTATCTCAGGATCCGGACGGTTTCCATACAAGAGTTTGAAGACGTGAATTTTTCTTAAAATAAAGCTTGAGAGATTTTCGATTCTTTGCTGATATATGCTGAAAAGTTCCGTTTCTAATTTCGCACGATTCCTTACGACAGGGAAGGCTTTTACTAGGGCAGTCTTGAAATTTTCGTAAGTATAGGTGGGACTTCCTGCTTCACGTAAGAGACCTCTACCTATACATTTGAACCAGTTAAGCGCTTGGCCCCTCAAAGCGCTGGTAGCTAAGGTAACTTTTTGAAACTCGTGCACGGGTAGAGCATGAAATGGTCATCCAATTTTTCCAAAAAACTGGTTACCGGTGAGTTTCCATTAAATGTTGCTTCTGGTTTCATCGAAGCGCGCATGGTCTGGACGATGTAACCAAATCCTTCCAGGGCGGCAGCTGGCATTTCTGGATTCTGAGCCGCTTCTGCAGGCAGCACAGGCTCTTCTTGAAACTCGGCCATGGTTATTCTTCTTCGTTGGGCGCCACTATCAGGTTCAATGTTCCGTCTTACTTTCTTTGGGAACATGCACAGACCTGACTCTGAACAGGGAGCTTACTAAAGCTATGTTCAATAAATGTGGGAAGTAGACAAGATACACAGGAAGGGTATACGAAACCCTTTAATTTTCACTCTTTACAATAATTTCCGTACTTCGGAATACAGAGACCAACTACTTGTGGTCTGAACGTAAGAATATAAAAATATTTAACTAAACTCTAACTTAACTTTGGAATAATAAACAAGGACCTACGTGGAAAATTGGCCTTATATTAACAGGAAGCCGTATGTAGTACAGAGAACTGTTAACACTACAATACGTTTAAAAATTATCACGAGGATTAAACCTCTGGCCTGGAAGGCAACCAGCAACTGAGTAAAACTGCTAAGGTAAGCGGCCAGCTTCGACTAACTCCTTCCTCTCTCTCGCTTGGCAAAAAGCCACAACTTAAGTACTTGGCGTTTGCCAGACAAATTTTGCATAAATAAGTTAACGCTTTTAATTCTGGCCGGAAGTAGAAAATAAGAAGTGATAGTAAAGATTTAAAATAAAAATAAACGTTAGTAAAACTTAAGATCCGTACAACCCTATAAGATCGCTCGAGATAAGCTTTTCCAGCCTGCATCAACGTAAGTTTCAGAATCATCACTTGCCGGGTCTAGCCCAATAGAAAATACTATTAATGATACTCTAACATCAGTTCTTCCTCAGGATGATATTACAGATGACTCCCCAGAGCACTTGTCAATTAGGCAGCAAACTTCTATTCCTAACACAGAGGATGATCCACAGATTACAATTACAGAAATTAAAACCACTCTTCGAAATATTCCAAAAAAAACGGGCCCCAGGCCCCGACGGGATTGACTATTCTATAATTCGTGTAATCATTAATTCCCACATCTTCTTCTGTGATTATTTTAATAAGTTATTTCTTAATGGTGTATTTCCTCGTATCTTCAAAGCTGGAAGAGTGGTTCTTTTCCTCAAAAAAGGCAAAGATCTGCAATTATCCACATCTTATTGACCTATATGTCTATTATCTGCTCTGGGGAAAGTTTATGAAAGAATTATTGTCTACCGTTTAAAACATTATCTTCACAAAATTCACTTTTTAAGTGATCACCAATATGGCTTTAGACCAGGTAGGTCTACCCTACAAGTATTATCAAAAATTACAGAAGATATACATCGTAATCGCAACAATGGTCACCACAGTGCTTTCATCAGTATAGATCTTAAGAATGCTTTTTGACTCACTGTGGTGGCCTGCAATACTGGAGGCACTTCGACAAGCTGATTGTCCTCAGAATTTATTTCTTGCATTTCAAAGTTACTTGTCGGAAAGAAAAATTATCTACTCCACTAATCATGGCATTATTACAAGACAACAAAACAGAGGCTGTCCGCAGGGTTCTTGTGCTGGCCCTGATTTATGGAATATAACATTTAATTCTGTTATTGCCGCAAACTGGCCAGCACATACCCGGGCATATGCGTATGCAGATGATACAGTTTTTATCATTCAAGGACGAACTCGAGAAGAGTTGCAAAGAAATGCTATTGAAACCTGTGATTTCTTTTATAACTTATGTTCTAGAATTAAATTAACAGTTTCCGAACCAAATCGCAAATTTTATTAATCCCTAAAAAAGGAGGAATCTTTGGTTCGACGGCCTCGAATCACCATTCATGGTACACGTATACCTATCAAACCGCAGCTCAAATTTCTCGGCGTTATCTTTGACGAGAAACTGAACTGGATGCCGCATGTGTTTGGAACTAAAGAGACGAACTGTTATAATTGCATGTAAATTGCGTCAAATGCAGGGTCGTGGATGGGGAATTAGTCCGTATATACAAAAGGTTCTTTATCTCACCGTTTATCGAGAGAATGGTCACCTATGCGGCTGCTATATGGGCTGAACCCATGCAGGGTCGCAAAGTGCGCCACTTGCAAAGTCTACAGCGTCAATTTGCCTTACAGATAACTAGGGCGTTTCGTACTACCTCATCCAGTGCATTAAATGTCATGGCGGGACTGATCCCTCTTACATCTACGTACTCTGCAGGAAGCAGCAATACAATCCGTCAAGGTTTTGAAAAAACCTTTCATCCTATTTGATGAACTTTTCACACACCATTGCACTATGAACAACCCTCACAACATTTAGATGTGCATCCAGTCCTTCAAGGAACAGGACTTCGGATTTTCCTTAAAGACGTAACACTGCCACCTATCCCAAGCATTCAATATTTCACTGATGGATCTAAAATAGATCAACAGATAGGCTGTGCCCTTGTAGCCTTTCATAATGGTCTGTCAATTTATCAGTGGCTGGGTCATCTCCATGGAAATAATAGTGTATTTCAAGCGGAGGCCCTAGCCGTCCTCAAAGCAGTTCAACACTGTAAAACAAGTGGTGCTATGGAGGCAATAATTATCACTGATAGTCTTTCGTCGCTTCAAGCGATTCAAAACCCCAGACATTCTTCTTCGCTTATCTCGGACATCCAATGTGAACTTCGTAATCAAGTGGGAAATAACATCACGCTAGCTTGGACTAAGGGCCATGTTGGGGATCACGGTAATACTTTGGCAGATAATTTAGCCAAATCAGCTGCCGAAAATACCGATGCCGAGGCTGAAGAAGTGATTCTTAAGTGGCCAACATCTCACTTAAAAAGAGCTCTTCTTTTAAAAGTTATATCTTAATGGCAACTAGAATGGGATACTGATGAAACCGGTCGACGAACGTACAATCATATTATGTATGGGGATCAATGTCGTCAGATAACAAATCATCAACTAGTAAGATATATCTCGGGGCATGGTCCATTTCCAAGCTACTTTTACAAGCATGGAATTGCAAATAGTGAATATTGTGTCTGCGGAACTCTAGGCATACCTGAACATTATATTACTGCATGCCCGTTAACGGAGGAATTTCACACTCCTTTCCCTGTGGATAATCAACTAGCATTTAGTAAATTTTTAATTAAGCAGAAGTACCTTATCAGAAAGCTCTAAAAAATTATGGATATTCTCCACAGTTATGGATCTGATCTATGTCAGGTTGTCTAATGTTAATGGTTTTGTCCTGTTTTCATAATACAACTGTATTCTTGTACACTCCAGTTGCATTCTTGTCTGTTTACATAGTGTTTTCATAATACAATTGTATTTTTGTACTCTCCAGTTGCATTCTTGTCTATTTACATATTATAACTATATTCTTTCTTTTTAATAGTCCCAGTATTGTTACAAATATTATTACAAATTGTATTGTATTTTAAATGCACTATAAGATATTGCACAATAAGTATTATACTCGCAATCTAAAACTATAGATATGGTATTACTATCTTACTGAATTACAAGCTACATATTAAGTATTCTAATCTGGTTATATATCAAAAATATTGCATCGAGCATTGTAATAACTATTGTATCAAACTATTAGCATTGTATCATATTTCATTATAATTACAATATACAATATTTGCACCCTAAGTACTGCATTATATTCTAACTAGTCTATTAACTTAATTTACTTATTATTTTAATTCTTGCATTAATTATTGTATTAAGTTGGTAGTTATGTAATATTATGTTGAGTTATAAGCTCTATCCTAAGAATATGGGATGCAACATATTGAAATTATGAACATCGTATCGCTATGTATGCTTTAGTATGGAACTGTAAATTAAATTCTTTGCAATACAGAAACTGGATTATTAGCTAGATTATTAGCATAACGTTATAAGTAGTCTTGATTCAACTTGGCATTAATTATTTTATTGAATTACATGCAGAATTTTAGACTTTAGATTTTAGATTTAGTTTATTGATTATATTGAATTATATGTCGTGTATTGCATATTGCACAGAATTATTAATATTGAATTGATCATAAGTATTTTTATACATTATATTGGTATAACTATATTGTTGCATTGTATCGCATATTGCACAGAATTAATAATATTGAATTGATCATAGGTATTTTTATACATTGCACTTGTATATTTATACTGTTGCAAAATATGTCTTTTTATCCTCAGTATTGTACTGAAGTGTTGCTCTTGTGTATTGTATACAAAGTATTGCATTTAATTCGCTTTAGTTATTAAGAACATTGCCTTATAGGCATCATACTATTAAGAATATATATATTGCACTTCTTTTGATACCTTGAGATACGTATTGAATTAAATATTGTATTAATTATTTTACTGAACTAGCAATTGTGTTAAAATACTGTATGAAAGTTAAAGTAGTATTTTGGTCTCATTTTGCTTTAAATATTCCATTAAATTATAAATAGTATCATAGACGTAGCTTATCGATTTTATACTGTATCATATGTCTTATATTGCATATTGCATAGAATTATTACCAATCACTTGACAATATGTATTTTTCTACATTGCATTTGTCTATATACTGTCACATACTCTATTTATTTACTCTTAGTATTGTATTGTACCTATTGTTGTGTCTTGTATACTAACCCTGTAAGCATGTTAATTTACCTATTGTATCACATATCTTATGTATTTGCAGTACATTATATTATATCGTATAACCGTATTGTATAATATATATATTAAATTGTGAGCTTCGTATGGATATGTATCATCTTATAAGAAATTGCAATGTTGTGAGCATCGTATACATAATAAAATTGCACTATAAGTCCCCTGCAATACAGGAAATGTGCAGCTGATATCGTAAATATAAATAATGTATCATTAATTTTGCATTAACTTTTGTAATTGAATGATATAGCATCCATTATCTTACGTATTAGTTGTAAATCATATTGTACTGTATACTGTATTATATAATATATACATTAAATTGTGAGCATAGTATAGATATGTATCATCTTGTATAAAATTGAATTATAAGTTCCCTGCAATACAGTACTGTGTAATATATACTAAATTGTGAGCATCGTATAGATATGCGTCATCTTGTATAAAATTGCACTAATATAGGAAATATACAGTTGGTATAGTAATATAAATAGTGTTTTATTAACTTTGCATTAACTATTGTATTGAACAATATGGCTTATTGATCTTATATTGAATTATCTATCTTGTCTTGCATCTCGTACAGAATCATTAGTATTGTTTTACCTTGTATTGGTATATATCTGTATGTGTGTATGTATGTATATATATGTGTGTATGTGTGTGTATATATATATATATATATGTGTGTGTGTGTGTGTGTATATATATATGTATATATAGTTGTATAATGTATCCTCTTTACCTTGTATTGGTATTTATATAGTTGCATAATGTATTTATGTATTGTATCCTTGCTTTGTACACTAACTATTGACTATTGTATTGAACTTACCATCAGTATTAAGATCATTACATCACCGATATCATATTATCAGCATTATTATCAGCCTAGTATATAGCAGCAGTAGCAATTTTGTAATATTTAGCATTGTAATCAGTTTGTAGTACTGTTTGTAAGTATTCTAGTAGTAGTTTTGTAATATTGTAGTTATTGTAGTATGTAGCAGTAGTAGTTTTGTAATGGTGTTTACTCCTTTGGTTTTCTATTGTTATCGCTATCTGTATGTGTTTTGTTCTAATTATGTCTATGTGATTATAGTATTTATTCAAACTGGCACTTGCACCTTTGTAATCTTATGCTTTGTCAAAACTACAAATGTACCTTTATTTATCTATTTATTTATTTTTTGAGCCCTTGTCTGGCCATGTATTTGTTGAACTTTGACTCAATAAATAGTAGGCCCGGGCGGTTGGTGTGAACATGCTTCTGGGGGCTTCTTTGGTCTTTTGGACTGCCACCTGAATGGCCTGGTCGCTGGGTTTCGGTGTATGGTGCGAGGCGCCTGTGTGGCCCATCTGGCTCAAGATAGAGGTGGACGTGTTGCATATGCCAATTAACCATTACGGTAAAGGGATGGTGCACACGTCCCCCGTCAACTATCAACTATCCATGACAACGCTCGGCCCCATATTGCTGGTGTCACTCAATCGTTAATTTAACAGTTTCATTGGGAGCAGTTCGATCTACCGCCTCACAGCCCGGACTTGGCGCCGTCGGACTATCACTTGTTCCTGCACATGAAGCGCGAGCTCGGTGGCAAGCGCTTTGGATCTGACGATGACAAGAAAAATGCTGTGGAGTCGTGGTTATCGAAACTGACGGAAAGTTTCTTTGACGATGGTATACAAAAACTGATCACCCGCTATGACAAGTGTTTGATCATTGGCGGAAACTATGTTGAAAAATAGTTTAAGACATGTATTTTCATGTAAAAATAAAATTGGATTCGAAAAAATTGTTTTACTATTTTTTTTAAACGGTACTTATTTTTCGAATACGCCTCGTACAATGCTCATCAAAATCAAATTGCACTGACAGAAGACAAATTTAACTCTTTCTCATTTAAAAATGACAAAACAATTTACAAACGTCTTATTTAATATAAACTACCACATTTTTCAGTGGATAAATCTAAACAAAATTACGTAAAATACAAACTTATCGAATTTAAGACTTAATCTCATAGTTTTGCAGCAAGCCTTTCTTTAATAGGGTGTATGATCGATCGGCTTGAGAAAAGTGCAAACGTCACATCTAAATCTAATTGCATAATAACACCAGATGTTTGTGAAAATGACAGGCATTATCAACTATTAGCAAACATTATGTTACATTAGCACCCCTAAACTGCGTTAATCGAAGTTCCGAAACCTCATGCAAACATTTATCACTTGCCATTAAACATCTGTCTAAGATATGCACCTTTTTGTTCCCATTTATAATGCTTCTACCCTTAACCATCCATCGAAATAGCATATTTCACAAGTTACGAAAGATACATTAAGTGTTCCTCACTCTCTGCAGGTCAAAACACATCTAGAATCATAGTTCAATATATATAGTAACCTCTGAGTAAACAATACATGGTTTTGTTTCCTCTGGCTTCACTCAATACGACAGCAATCTACACTCATTCCATAAATTAAGGATAATGCAAAATCAGGCAAAGGAATAGTTAGAAGCAAAACAAATTTGACTTATTTGAAAGCTTATTTATTAAACAAAAGGTAAAGAGCAAAAAAAAAAAAAAGATGCTATATGTTTGATATTATTAAAAATTATTTTCCCCCTGGAGCAAGTTACAAAAAAAAACCTATTTACAAAAAACCAAAACTAAATAGTTGGTATGATTGTTAATACAGTGTATGTCTCTCAGACGATGCAATACAGTCCGTACAATGCCTAGGCATGCTGAGTATCAAATTATCGATCTAATCTTAGGATTTAGGATTTAGGAACGGGGAAGACGGGCACCACGCCTTTACCATTTAGTTAATTGGTTTAGCGCCGTCTCCCCACTACGTGATCCCAGCCGTTTATTGATATTAGCAAACAGATACATAATTTGAAATGAATACTAAATTTGCAGTGATACATAATTGAAATGAATACATAATTTGAAATGAATACTAAATTTGCAGTGATACATAATTGAAATGAATACATAATTTGAAATGAATACATAATTTGCAATGATACACAGTTTGGAAGGTAAAAAAAAAAAAGTAACTAAATGAAAAATGCATATGAACAGTAGGAGAGTACGGAACAAACAAACAAGTCATATGTAAAAATACTAGGCTCAAATATGCAATAGTTAAACAAAAAC